CCTTAATCTTAGTACTCCTTTATACGTTTACTTTAATAATTATACCTTATTACTATTAAGCTTTAGTAATTTATCTAGTAACTTACTACCCTTAATATTAAGTATTATAAGGAAAACCCTTAGTACCCCTTATAACGCTTATAGGTAGTTTACCCCGTCGTTTAATAAAGATAAGCTTCTCCTTCTTTTACTATACGACCTAGATAGGGCTATCTTCCCTAATAAAACTAAGATAATAACTAATGCCCTTAGAACTATATAGATCGCTACTATCTTAGCTAACGTTATTAATAAGCTCTTATTTAAATAGGTCGCTTTTATAGACGCTAAGAAACTTAGGATTATCGCTACTATTACTAGCGCGAAGTGCCTCCTTACCTATTTAAAGATATTTAAGGCCGCCGCTATAAAAGAGCGTAAGGCTACTAGTACGCTAGGAACCTATAAGTTTAGAAAGAGCCTTAAGCGTACCCTAGCTAGGACTAAAGGATCTAGTATAGTAGACCTTACCTTCGATAAGCTATTAAGGAACTTATTTACTAAACGCTTACTCGCCGCTACTACGGCCCTACCCTTTACTCCTTTTAAGTAAGCTAACTTATTCGCTAAGAAATAGGCCCTAATACTAGTCTAATAGAAGCTTAACCCCTTTTAGGTTCTAAGCTATAGAAAACCTAAACTGTTCCTTATTATACCTTTTATAGTATACTATAATAACCTAGCTAATATAGATAGCTATATAGGTATTATTGACTTTAGGTTAGAAGCGCTAGTCTATAGAGCCTTAAAGGCGGCTATAATTTAAGTAAATCTATTTACTACTATTTATAAGGAGGCTAACGCTAACCTTTTACTTAGCTAGTACGCCGCCCTTACTAAAGTACCTGCTAGCTTTATTTATTAGTTTACCTTCGCTACTTACCTCCTAAATAACTTACCTAAGCTTACCGCGGTACGCTAAAGAGCCGCCCGCGTTAGCCTCTTATATATACTAGTAGCGGCCCGCCTTTATATAGCTAATATAATAGCTTATTTTAACTTATTAGACTAAAGGTTTACTAATATATACTTAGGTAGGTTTTAAAACCTAGGCCTAACTATATAAGTACTAGTAGTAATAATTTATAATTAAATTCTAGCCTCTTATAATAAACTAGCTATAATACTCTTAGTAGAACTAGCCTTAAATAACGCCTATAGCGTACCTATCTATAAAGGCTTTAATATATAAGATACCTTAGATAACGTACTAGTAAGCCCTAAGGAACTAATAAAAGAGGAAGCTAAGGAGGAGATTCCTTACCTTACCCTTACCCTTATAATATAAAATAGTTAGTTACTAGTTTAGCCTTATTATATCCCTAGTCCTATTTATTTTTTTACTAGCTTAGCTATAAAGCGCCCTTAGTTATAATTAGTTTTCCTAAGCTTAGCTATACTATACCCTTAGCCCTATTTATTTATTACCTTAGTTTAGCTACCTAGCGCCCTTAGTTTTAATAGTATTTTACTCCTAGCTTAGCCGCCTCGCGCCCTTAGTATTAGTTATACTAAGTTACGTTCTAAATAAGATATTAGTTATCCTTTATACTAACCTTAGAAATCTATATAACTTTATTACGATTCCTTATTAGCGCGACTCTTACTTAAATACTATAAGAGACTAATAAGACGTTAGTTAATTCTTTTACCCTAAGTATTTACTATAAGATACCCTATAATCGATAATTAAGGTACCTATAATAATATTTACTTCCTTTAAGGAAGTTAACCTTAACTCCTTAAGGCTCCTTATAAAAGAAGGAACTTAAAAGCTACTAAGTAAACTTTAGGAAATTACCTAGAAATCCTAGAAATAATAACTAAGCGGATTATATAAATATTTTATAGAGATTTCCCTTAAGGATATATTATATAGGAAATATACTATAACTTCCTAAGTAATAATAGCTCCTTAGGGATTAGACTAAGATTTCCTTAAGAAGTTACTATAAGAATATAGTAAGGAAATTAAAGAGAAATACCTATGCTTACCTAAGGAAAATACTAAGAAATATAGCTAATACGCTATACTACTATTATATAATTATAAGGTTAAGATATTACTTAGTTAAAGCCTTTAGTAAGGTCTTACGCTTACTATAGTATATATAAAAGATAGAGAACCTATTAGATCTTAGGTAAGTAGAAAAGAATATAAATAGTTATTACTACTTTTACTTTAACTTATAAGACTAGTAGCTAGTTTATATTTAACGCGCGTAATAATATATAGTAGCTAGTTTATATAATATATTTAATTATATATAGTAGCTAGTTTAGGTAGTTACTTATTAGACCTATACTAAATCCAAATAGATAGCTAGGTTAAAGTACCGGCCTTATACTAAGGGATAAGTATATAATAAGAATTATTTAATACTTTAATTAATAACTATAAGTAACTTATCCTATAGTTAGAAACTAAGCTAATAGTTAGGTTATAAGGGAAGATAAGTAATATAGTAAAAGGATATATATAAAGTAGATTACGCGAAACTAAGAACGAGACTATAGTAAACTTTACTTTATTTATAACTAAACTAACTAGTTAGAAACCCTAGGAATAATAATAATTTTAATAGAAAAGAAATATAATAACTATATTAAGATAGAATAATCTATACTAAGTAGATATAGGCTTAGTACTAAACTAGTTAACTAGTCTTTAAACTAAACTATAGCCTTAGGATTTAAAACTAAAGGAGGGCTCTAAGGAAAACCTAATTATTATTAACCTTACCTATTAGCTTTAAGTAGTACTAACTAATACCTAAGGTAAGATATACCTCTCCTAAGAAATATAAAACTAGATCCTATTTATTTAGGATAAAGGGCTAGAAGATAAGGATATTACTATTAATATAAGAAAAGAAACTAAAGAAATAAAAGATAAGATTTTATTTGTTTTTAATATAATAAAAGCGGAACTTATAGGACTAAGTATTTCGTTTAAAATACTAAGGAACTAGCTAACTATAAGAGCGGCGCTATAAACTAAAGTATTAGATCTAATAAAGCTATCTTAGTTTATATATACTTAGATATTTATCTTTAAAACTAAAGGCTTAAACTAACTATTAAAGTTATTTATAGACTTTAGTATAGCTTACTTTATAATTAAGGAAGACTAGCTTAACTACTTTAATAATATAACCCTTAATATAACTTAGTAAGTCTTATTATTTAGTATAAGGAAAAGCTAAACTAAGGGTTAAGTAACCTTAATAATTAATATCCTAGGGAAATAAGGAATAGGATTTAAGGTTAAGTAATTTACTATTAGCGCCTAGGTAGTTTAGACCTTATTTTTAGGATTATTACTTAAATAAGATTTCTTAGTACTAAATAAAGTTAATATCTTAAACTTTAAGAAAATAATATCTATTAGCTTATATAGTAACTTAATAGTTATAGCTCGCTTAACTTAATAGGGCTATATAATCCATTATTAGGTTATATACTAAGCTAACGTTAACGTCCTTATATATAAGATAGAACGCTTACTAGTATAGATTAAGGATATACTAAGAGATTAAGACCTAGTATTTTTTCTAAGAAACCTATTATTAGCTTATAACTTAATCTAAGGTATAACTTTAGTTATAGCGGTTAATACTACTACTCGCTATATTAGATTTAAGAAAGGATAGTACTTAAGAATACTAATAGACCTTAGTAATAAAATATAGTTTTTATAGATTAACTTACCTAAGGAAACCCTAACTAAGGTAAATCTAACTAAATAGCTAGCTAAACGAAAGACTATAGAATATAATAAACTATATTAAGATATAGACCTATTAATAGAAACCTTAGAGGAAGAGAGCCCTAGGTCTATTAAAAGGGAACTCCCTTTATAAATATATAGATAGACTTTAAACTATAAGATTAGGATTTTATTAGACTATAGCCTTTTAGAGATAACTACTTTAAAAGATATTAAAATCTATAATTAAGACCTTATATTTATAGAAAAGATCTAATATATAGTCGCCTCCTTCCTAACCTTATAAAAGGACTAAGGTACTATTAAAGTCTACCTAGACTATTATATATATATTCCGCTAGTAGAAAACTAATACCTATAAAAACTAGCTTTTAAGGCTTACTTACTTAGCTAAAAGGATAAGGCGCTAATTAACTAGACCTATAAGGACTTATATTAAGAGGGGTATATAAAATAAGCTATAAAGGTAACCCTATTTACTTACCTTATATTTATAGTTTAAAGAAATATATATAGTAATAAAAAGGGCTAAATAAGAATAGACTTATATACTCTTAATAATATAGCTATCTTAGACGCTTACTTAATATTACTTTAAGGAGATATAATCTAAAAGCTTTAAAGGAAACGCTTTATTTCTATTATAAACGCTCGGTCTTTCTTTTATTAGTTCCTTATCTATAAAGAGTATTAAGAAATATTTATAGTAATTAGCTATAGAGGCTTAGAACGACTAATAGTAGCCTTAATAAGATATAAAAACTTACTTATATACGTTTAACGATTTATAAACTTAATCCTTTAAGAATATATAGAATATTCTTTTAAATATATTAATAATATTATAATCTACTTAAATATAAAAAATAACTATATTTATTACTTTTAATGTCACACATAGGATATCAGCCTCCAACAGTCTGACCCCCTATTCGCACAGTCCGTTTCCACATTTCCCCACAGAAACTTCTAGGAGGCATCATCAACGCATCAGTGGCTTCCAGATGATCCGATCAGATGCTTCCATTCACTACCATTCCTTCCATTCTCATATTCAGGCAGTCTATAAAGATCTCGCCTCTTTCCCACCTTAGATAGCAGAATCAAGAGTCTTCCAGTCCCTGATCTTTATGCCCACTTGCTCATCCTCCGTGCGATAGTTATGAGCCCGGTCTGCCACTGACTGGGTATCTTATTCTTGTTCACTCCGCTGCGCAGAATAGCTTCCACAATGAGCTCAGCTCTAGATCTTGATGGCTCTTCCAAGGGCACCGTGCTCAACGGCCCTTGCGACTGGAAACAATGGATTTCTATCATCAAGAAATTCGCCACGTCCCACAGTCTTTGGGACTTTCTGGACCCTGCCGTCAAGGAGGGTAAGCCGGTTCTTCAGCAGCCAGTTGAACCAACATTCCGACAAATCAACCACGAAGCATCTGATCTCGTGGATCTGACCTCGGAGGAATTTCGCCGTCTCGAATTCCTCCACACCCAATACCGCTCGAAGCTTCAAGGGTATAGGGATCAAGTGAAGGCACTCGCCAGCCTTCAACAACACATCGTCAAGACCATCGGCAACTACTACAGCACCATTGCCGAGGAACACGACGTTGCAAAGCAACTTGCCTTGCTTCAGGCTCGTGTGGCCCCAACCGACTGGGCACTCGAGAGGAAGTTGTTCAGCGTTATCGTTCCACCCTTCAGTCGCCAAACAGGACCAAGATCGAAGCTTGGGTCACCCAATGGCAGAAAGTCCTCACTGAGGCAAAGCAATTAGGGCTTCCTGATGTCCAGGACCTTCGCCCTACCCAAGATTTCCTACAGGCTGTTTCGTCCATCAACGCCCCATTCACAGACTATTGGGTCAACAAAATGGAAGACGAGGCCGTATTCGGCAAGCCTGATTGGAAGACGGACTTCCCGGACGGCATTAAGATCAGTGAGATCTTTGAACGAGCTCACCGAATCAAGGCCGCCAACAACAGCAAAGGATCATTCGGAGCTGCCTTCCAAGGCAAGAGAAATCGGAGAGGAAGAGGACAAGCCTAAGTGGTCTTCAAGCAAGAACGCTGATGGTGTTCCTATGTGTGTCTGCGGAGAATATCACCGCTTCGTAGATTGCTTCTATCTCATCAAATCAGCTCGGCCTGATGGCTGGACTCCTGATCAGAAGGTTGAGAAGAAGATCAAGAAATCCTCGACTCCAATCCATGGGCAAAGAAGATGACGGAGAAAGCACAAGACTTCAAGAAGAAGGAAATGGAGAAATCGTCCGACTCCTCCGTTAAAGGCACAGCGTTTGCCGGTCTTCTACCAGCTCCTGACAACACACCGCCTCCTCAACACCTCCATCAACCAGTTTCTCGACGGAAAGGCAGTCTACCCGCTGTATGACTCCTTTATCCTTGATTCCGGATCAGACACACACATTTGCAACAACCGATCCCGTTTTCTTGACTACACCGCCCTTGCAGAGCCAAAGAGCTCTTTGCAGGCGATAGTCAACTTCAGATCCTGGCTACGGCACAGTCCGTATGAAGCTTGAAGAAGGAGGACTTTTTCAGCTCAACGAAGTTGCCTTCGTGCCAAAATTCCACACCAACATCGCATCCCTCGACCGCTTTCTTGCGAAGGGATACAACTGGAATCCACTATCTGGACGCGTCTCTAAAGACGATCAGATTATATTTCATACGAAACGCCGCTTTCGTCAACCGGTCATCGAGTTCAACCCGATTAAGGAGGACTCTCACGCCTCCAACTTCACATCTTCATCTGCACCTCGCGCAGTGAAAACAGCAGATGCTACGCTTTGGCATAAGCGCCTAGGCCACTTGAACGCTCAAGCCCTAGAGCGTCTTGTTGAGAACACGACGGGTTCGAAGATCAAAGGCCCAGTTACCATCGATTGCACCGCGTGTTCCCTTGGGAAGGAAAGAAGGTCGTCTCTCGCCGAACCCCTCAAAACCGAGCCCCAGACCATTCTGGAGAATCTACGTTGATATCTTCAGTATGAACACCTCATTCAACGGCAAGGAAGCTGTTCTTCTTATCAAAGATGAATTTACAAGCATGATCTTCATCTACCTTCTGAATGACGCGACACAAGGGTCCGTTATGACTGCTTTGAGAAACCATGAGGCAATGATTCAACGCCAATGGAATCTCAATATTTGCATTATCCACCGTGATAACGATCGTTCTCTTCAGAGTGCGTATGAGAGCTGGATCGAGGAAAGGATTCAAGATGAACCTTCTGCCCTTACACTCCCGCTCAAAACGGCTCTGCAGAGCGATCTGGGGGTAATATCTGCCCAGGCCAGAACAATGGGAATTGATGCCAATTTACCATCTGATCTTTGGCCAGAGACTTGAAAGCTGCAGTGTTTTTGCACAACAGATCGCCCATGCAGAACCACAGCTTCCGAACGCCTTTCCAGCTGCTTCATCAGTGGCTGCGAGACAACAACAGAGACATAGGCTACCAGCAAGACCAGCCTGACATCACGTTTCTCAAGGCATACGGCTGCAGAGCCTATCCCTTGACACCCCAGGCCCTTCAGAACAGACAGAAGAAGGACCTAAAGACCGACCCTCACACAGAAATCGGTTATCTCGTTGGATATGATTCCACGAACATTTTCAGGATCTGGATTCCGTCCACATCAGAAGTCCGAAGGGTCCGAGATGTGACCTTCAATGAAAGCATCTTCTATGACGGAAATGATCAGCCACCAGAACCTATCCCACAGCGCGTGGAAGTACAGCTTCCAGCCCACATCGAGGACGAGTCGGATTACGAGGAAATCCCCACTCAAATCGATGAACCTGAACCTGACCCCGTTGAGCAATCTCCCTCAACCTCAGACCAAGGAGACGCCACCACGATTGTGGTACAACCCGAACCATCTGATCATGAGGACTCGGATGATCAGGATGAGTTTCATGACATTCAGCACCCATATCCGACACCGGACCCCGGTCCGAGTGACTCAGCCACGGCGCTCAGCCCGCTCACCAAAGCTCTGCCAGGCCAGAAATTTGCTACTTTCGTCAAACAACTCGGTCTCGTCGATATCTCTACGTTGCTAGGGATCTAGTTTCTTTCTTCAGTTTGCACTGCCCACTAGCCAGCACAACCTGGGGGGGTATGTCACACATAGGATATCAGCCTCCAACAGTCTGACCCCTATTCGCACAGTCCGTTTCACATTTCCCCACAGAAACTTCTAGGAGGCATCATCAACGCATCAGTGGCTTCCAGATGATCCGATCAGATGCTTCCATTCACTACCATTCCCTTCCATTCTCATATTCAGGCAGTCTATAAAGATCTCGCCTCTTTCCCACCTTAGATAGCAGAATCAAGAGTCTTCCAGTCCCTGATCTTTATGCCCACTTGCTCATCCTCCGTGCGATATTTAAGCTATCTTTTAACTCTTTATAAACTATAACCTAGCTTTAGCTAGATCGAAATTATTCTTAGGCTACTTATTTATTATAAGAATATACCCTTATATTCCTATCTTACTATTATAAAGAAATAATAGGTATAGGGAGGCTCTATAGAATAAGCTAGTAAAAAGAGGCTCTATAATATAGTTTAAGGGAATAACCCTTAAAGATAAAAGACCTTTACTAGATATCTATACCTTCCTTTAAGAAAAGCAAGTTAAAATAAGCCTATCCTAATAAATAAAAATATATATAAAATATATAAGTTAATTATAAGTAGAACGGATACCCTATTGCCTATTTTAGCCTAGCGGTTCTAAAGATATCCGCGATACTAGAATAGGTAGGGCATAGAACATTCTAGTTAAATCTACTACTTATACTAAAACCTATAGTCTTACGTTAACTATTATATTATAATTAAACTACCTACTAAGTTAGGAAGATATACTATAGATAAAGCTTTTTAAGCACTATAGAATATACTAGAAAGCTAACTAATTAGTCTACTAATAGGCGAGTAATAGTCTATAAAAGACAAAGGATTTCCCTAGGAGTAGTAGATAAAATAAGTAAGTTCGTAAGTATCTTTTATAACGCTATTCTTTTAATATATTATTTAGCCCCTTATATACTCGTTATAAATTCCGGACGAAATCCTACCCTATACTCCTTTAACCGAATATTCCGCTTACGTTATCGATTACCTAATCCTACGCTTATTATATAAACCTTTTTATATTTATAAAACTATTAAGATTTTAAGTTAATAGTACTAGCTTAATAAATACTAAAGAATAAGTATAAGTATTATAAGATATAGAGTTTCTAAATATATTATAGGTACTAGAAAAGTAGCTTAGCTTAGTTAACTAGCTATAGTACTTAGTAGCTTACTTCTCTTAAAAGGTAAAGGCGCTTTAAGTTTAGAAAATAGTAATACTTAAAAAAGCACGGGATAGTTAAGCGCTACTTAAAGGAATAGTAAGGAATAAATATACCTTTAAGGTAATATACTAACTATTCTTAGTAAAAGAATAGGCCTTCTAAGATATTATAAATACTTTAATAGAACTAATATAGCTATACTATTTTAACTTATAATAGCTATTATTTTTATAAATTAACGCTAGCCGCGAGTTAGGCTTTATAGTAGTAACCTTTTACTTAGTACTAAGGGTAGACTAGAACCTAAGAAGAACCTTACCTTAAATAAGTATTTAGCTAATCCTTTACCTTAGTAAACGCTTAACTAATAAAGAGCTTAAATACTAGCCTATTAAACTTAAAGTTACTTATCTTTCCTAGGTATATTAAAAGCTTTAGTTATATATTATCTTTACCTTACTACTAAAGGTTATTATATTAACTAACTATGCTATTATAAGCGTAATCTTTAAGTAAATATTATTATTTACTATTAATATAAAAATAAATAATTAGCTTATACTTACTTTATAGTACCTTAGCTAGTTTCCTTTAAAGGTCTATTATATCCTTAGAAGCTTAAATATCCTTACCGATATACTATCTTAATAATTATTTATAATACCTAGGAAATATAAACTTAGGGAATTAAACTATATTTAAGAGGATAAAGCGCTAGTTAAATATATATATATAGTTATAAAATCCTTTATCTAACCTAACCTATACTAAAAGATTTAAGAAGTATATATAAAAGAACCTAAGTAAGCTAGTATAATAAAGTAGCTTAAATATAATAAGTCCTAGGTTAGTCTTTTATTTATTTAGTATAATAAGTTACTTTACTTAGTTAAGTTTAAAGGTCTTTATTAGCTTTATATCCTTACTACTTATACTAAGGAAATTATTACTAATAATTATACGCGTAAATTTTACTTTAAATAGTAAAGGATATAAAAGATATTATCTTTTATATTTACTATTACTAGCCTTAAAAAGCTTATTAATAGCTTTATCGATAAGTATAACGCTTACTATAAGAACTAAACTAACTAGTTAAAGGCCCTTAATAAGTTAGTTTTAATTACTTCCTTAGCCTTACCTTTTTATATAATTGCTATAGATTTCGTTATAGGGCTCTTAAACGTCCCTATAAACCGAACTTTATAAATACTACCTATTAAAGTCTACTATAATATACTACTAATAGTAACTAATAAGTTCTTAAAAATAAGGCTCCTTATCCTAGGCTATAACTAGTTTATTATAGAGGACTAAGCTAAGGTACTTTTTATTAAATTAATACGCTATAACTAAAAGACTTTTATTTAAACTAGTTTTAACTAAGACCTTAAGTTCTTATTAGCGTTTTAAAAAGGACTATAGATAGCGTATAGGTCTAAGTTATTAGTATTTATAGCTTAGTATCCTTAGACTAATAGCTTATTAAAACGATATAACTAAGTAGTTAAAACTATACTTTAGTTTTTTATAACTAACTTCCTATCTTATTAATAGGTTAATATATTATTACTACTTTAATTTACCTTTAATAACTCTTACTTCTTAGTAATTAATACCTTTTTAAGCGAACTACTAACTAGGATATAAATAAATAATAGTAGGCGATACCTTAAAGAAGGCCTCTTATAAATAGATAAGGAGATATTCTAGGATTAAGCTAAGATCTTAATCGCTCTAGCTTAAGCAGGAATAAAAAAGTAGTATAATATAAAGTACTAAGTACTAGAGTTTAAGCCTAGAGACTAAGTAAGCTTTAGCTAAGGGAAGGATATAGTATAGCTAATAAATAGGTAGTAAAGTTAAAGGAACGCTATATAAGAC